ACATAGAAGTATTTTATGAGGACATGTAGTGAGGTCTATAAGTTAATTTAACTTCAATATTCTTCTTTTAACTTTACTTTAGTTCTTCTCCATGCAACATCTTCTATTTTCTCCCAAAAACTTATTCAACAATATAGCCTATTATAATATCATTAAACACAACAGATTGTTGAAATTTGCTTTTCTACATTGGACAAAACAAGTGGAACTAGATTGCTAGCAAGATATCTGTTGAAATATTTCTTTTTGGTATATATTCTTTTGTTCTTTCAATGAAATTCCTTTTTAAATAACTGCTCTGTTTGTAGACAGCTCACTGAAAAAAATAAAATCCTTCCAGGTCTAATAAACTCTAAAATTCTTGTAATGGATGAATGTCTAGACTCTCATATTTTCTCTCAACATATTTTATAAATCTCAACATATTTTATAAATCACTTTATTAAATAAAAAGTAACAAAATAAATAATAACAGACTAGATCTTATAAAGATTCTAAATGATGGAGAGCTAAGTAAATGATGGAGAGCTAAGCTGCAGTCAATTTTAAAATTTATTCACTCTTTATAAGAGTCTAATACATAAAAGCAAATTATTTATTTATACATATTTAATTTTATTTCATTTTAATGTCTAAATATAAAAATTTGGGTATCAAGACATTTGCTAATCAAAAAGTGGTCCTTAGCAAACCTACCTAAAAAAATCAATTTTACATAAGAACACACTTTTTCTTGAGCTTTTTATTCATTAAAAAAAAATACATTTTTTCAAAAACAAATCTCACTGTATCCTAATGATCACCCTGCTATGGGTAACATATATTCCAGTGCAGCCTGTTCCATATCCTGCTGCCTTGTATGATTTTCTTTCTAAGCAAACACTAGAGGTGTACTTCCTGTTATCAATACTATCATAGCTATCATGCAATTATAATACTATATAATAATATTATAGCTGTCATGTCTATAGGAGTATCTATTTTTGTCTGTCATATAGCTAGAGGTGACTTTGTTACTGCATTAGCTCACCATTAATTACTATATAAATGTTTGTGCTCTGTCTGAACCTGGTGTTCACTCACTAGTACAAGTTTTTGAACTGTTTATAAAAAAAAATTTAACTTAATAAATATGCGTTAAATATATAACTAAAAGAAAAACAAACTATTAACAAAAACAACTTGCCTGTAATAAAATTTTGTTCTCTAGCATTTTTTTATCATTAAATTGTATTAAGTGAACAATTTGTGAGAAAAATATTTATAATTTTTTATTTGAGTATCTGTTATTTGTTTTTACCAACTCAGTAATGTAGCGGGGAGCCAAGTGGGAAATTGCCCCCGGGCCCGAAGGCTTAAAGGAGCGCCAAAAAAAAAGTTTATTTTACTTTAAAAAGCAATATTTTTTAATTTTATTATAAAAAAAGTACTTTTTTACATTTTTGCCTTGGGTGCAAAAATTCTCGCTACACCCTTGCGTAGTAAATTTAAAAATTCCTCAACACGTAAGTTGTTTAAGTGGTAATCTACCATGACCTGCCACTGTATATTTTCTCATCAAAGATCAACATTTCCTCATTGTGTAAGTTGTTACGGTCTCTAACAACTTACACAATACTTTAATATTGAGCTTTATTAAAAAAATATGTTGTTCAAAATTAAAAAAATTAAAATGAATTTACTTTTTCGAAAGCAATAGTTACGATTCAAGTAAAACTTTTTTTAATTACTCAATGAAATATTTTTCTGTTTCTCTAAAGTATTGTTTATATAATACTTTTTACAGAATAAAAAAAGTTGTATTATAAGTTGTATATCTTGAGAGATTGAGAGTAATACTTGAGAAAATATTTTGTTCAAAATTTAAAAAAAAATTTCTTTCAATGTTCAAAAATTTTTTTTTTTTTAATTTTGAACAAAATTAAAAAAAAAACAAAGTAATTTAAAAAGTAATTACTTTATAATTACTTTTTAAATTACTTAATATAATACTTTTCTACTGTTCTTATGTGTTATATGAATAATACTTTTTACAGAATAAAAAAAAGTTGTATATTTCTTGAGATAATTAATTATTTGCAATTCGAATTAAAAATTCTTTCACATACTGAGTATTAGTGACAGTGTAACAGCCGTGACAGTAGGGTGACCATTATTTTTGAAGTTTAAAATTTTACTGTCTTTCCCCCTAAAGGTGTTCCTTTATATGTGAAAATAACTAAGACCAAATATTGACTCAATTGAACAATATTTTAAGGTAGCTCAATGATATCAAAGTATCAAAGTTGTACTGTCACTCGCGAGTACGAAATAGGCACCTCTAACTCCTAGTAGTTACTAAATCAAACACAATTTTGAGATGATTTCCAAGCATGTTATTGTTTCCATCATAGCGATCAATGTTTTATGCTAATTAATAATTAGAGTTAAATATTCTTTGGAGCTGATGCTGATGACGTTATTTTATTTACATTTGTTGATGATTGACAATTTGATTATCTTTAGCTTTCATAAGTTTAAAGTGCACAGTTCAACAATCAAATTAACGTAAATGGCAACCAAAAAGTTTTACTAGGACAGAAAGAAAAAGGCAGGCAAGGATTGAGGGCAGTAGAAAGACATGATAAAGCAGTGGTTAGACGTCAACGGATGAATGAATTGTTTGAAACAACATGGATGGTAAACTCATGCATGACTTAACCAGAAAGGAGAAAGTGAACCGTCTTCCAGTTATAGTATCAGGAAAACAAGTGTCTCAGTTGCTCACTGCCATTTGTAACTGGTCAAGCCCAAGCCTCTGCTGTATTCGAAGCTCTGAAAAGCTGGGATGTTGTTTCTAGGGTCAATGCCATGTGCTTTGACACAACATGTTCTAATACTGGCAGAAACATGAGGACATGTGTTCTGCTAGAACAAATGCTTGGCAAGGAGTTGCTTTATTTAGCATGTCGTTACCATGTTCTGGAGCTAGTAATTGGTACAGTTTTTCAGGCTTGTATAGGATCAACTTCAGGTCCTGAAAATCTGCTTTTCAAGCGCTTTCAAACTCGATGTATGTTCATTGACTAGGAAAGATACAATACTAGCATGTCCGATGTTAAAAATGCATGCTTGTTGTATGACAAAATCTGACATCATAAAGTTTGCCAACAAGCAGCTGAATGAGCAACTGCCACGAGACGACTACAGAGAGTTCATTGCTAATCTTCCTGGGAGAAATCCTATACAGAGGAGTGCGTTTTATGACCTGGCCCAATGCACCACGCATGCTGGATGTCAAAGGTCATCTACTCATTAAAAGTATGGATGTTTTGCTCACAATTTGTTCTGACAGCAAGAAAAGAAAAAAATTCATTTTCATGCTACTTGTCATTCAATTAAATTTCATCCTTTACTGTGGCTGTTTTTAAGTGCTTATAAAAATTTTTTTGTCTAGTTTTTTTCCTCGAACATCAGTTCTTTAGAATTCACTTTCTTCATTTTGTTTTTCTGATTCATATAATTCACAATCTTTTAAGTTGTCTGTTAACTGATATCTTACTTTATTAAGTTCAGCTTTTCTCTTTCAGTAACTTCCAAATCTAATATTGGTTGCCATACTCTAATACACAAATAATCTAATAGTGGTTGGTTGCAACCTTGTTGGAAGGGAACATTAAAAAAAAAACTCTTAACTTAATAGTGGTTATTTGCAGCTTTGTTAGAACTGAAGTAGTGCAAAAAATATATATAGTTTTGATGAATTTTTTACACCACTTCAAGCACGTATACCACTTGTTTATTTATCTGTTAGAACATGCCTGAATTTTTGTAATAGAAACTAAAAAATCAAGGAGCAATAAATAATTAACTTATATACTAGAGGCACAGTATTTTTTTTTATAGACTTTTTGTTTCCACATTAAGTCTAACTAATCTTAAATCATTTGGTAGTTTAATAAACAATTCTAATTTATAAAATAATACAAAACAATTATATGCGCAAATTTCTATTTAAGATAGTAAGAACATGCCTGAAATTTTGAAAATTCTACTTTTTGTCATAAAGACTAAAAAAACAAGGAGCATCATTAGCATATGTACAGTGACAGTCTTAATTTTTTCGACTTCTTGTTTCCATATTGGAAACAAGAAGTCGAAAATTGTTTGGTCGTATAATATGCATTTATGATTCATAAAATAATACAAAACAATATTATTTTAGGAAAGCTTAACATGCTGTTTCTACAAAAATAGTAAAAGCCCTAAAAAAACTTTTCATAAAACGAATTACTCTTTCAGCAAATCAAAATTCAGCAAGTTATGCCACAACAGAATTCTCAAATTGAGACCCTAATCTAGGGTTCTAACCTAAGACCATAAAAAGACACTAATCAAACCCATAAATTATAAGTTTGATTAGTCTAAGTTGGTATAAATTAATCAAGATTGACATTTAGACTTATTAAATCTGTTTTTGTAATATTCAGCAAGTTATGTCACAACTATGCAATTATCAAATCGATTTAATAATTGCATAGTTGTGTCCTTGCTGTTAACAGAAAAAAAAAGTATAAGATTGAATGAATAGCTCCCTTAATCTTAAAATACAGAAAAAAAAAGGAACCAAATTAAAAGAAAGATGAAAAGCAAAATTATGAGCCAAAAAAATCTATATTTATGGTTTTAATAAACTTTTAGAAAGTATAATAGTTGATGTATTCAATATTAGTTCTTCAATTATTATTTTAGGAATTTTCTGTTAACTTAAAGCGGCCTTGTTTTTAGGATCAAGGGTGCATACTCTCCTCTATATGTTTTTTGTCATTTGCAGATAAAATTAAAAACATACATAGCCTAAGAATTTTTGTTATTTCTAGTTTTTTAGGCATTTTAAAAAATGCCTGGTAGGTCAGAAAAAATAACTCTAGTTGACATTTTTGATTTATGAGTTTTTTGAAATTTCAATAGAAAAAAATTTGAGACTACAAAAAACAAAACTAAAAAAGAAAAAAACCTGCCTGAGCGATTTTTATCCATTATTCTTTTTTTTTAATGTATTGATTGAACAGTCGATTTTAAATTTTTATGTCTGCACGTGCTACACTTTTAAATTTATGTGACAACATGTGATCACATTTGATCTCTAGCAACCACATTAATTGACTCAGTTGTTTTTTTTTTATACTCGATAAGAGCTGGATACATTGCCGTTAACGGCAATGTATCCAGCTCTTATCGAGTAATAAATAATAATAAAAATAATAAATTAAAAGTAATAAATAATAGGAAGAAAAAAACTTATAAAAATAATATCTTAAAAGTAATAAATAATAGGAAGAAAAAAACTTGAATATAAACTAACGTTAGTTTATATTCAAGTTTTTTTCTTCCTATTATTTATTTATTATATTATATTATATTTATTTATTATATTTATTTATCCTATTATTTATTTATTATTCCTATTATTTATATTTCTATTATTGCTGGGGTCCTTTTTTCTCCTCCCGATAACAGATTGACACCAATGCCTTTGCAGAATGTTCTATTTGCAGTTTGTTTTTTTTTTTTATCTATTTAACTTTTTATTTTTTTGCATTTTTGTTATTATTATTATTTTTTTTTTTTTTACTATTTTTTTTTTTATTTTTATTTCTCTCTTAGAATGGTTAATATCTGTTGGCCCGTTACAATAAAACGTCTCTGACCGATTTTAGTACGAGAGCGGACTTCATTATAAGTTTCCCCATCGACATTATCTCCAAATAGGTCGTAATAAGCTGGAGGACAGTTTCTAGTTATAACATAATGAGCAAATTCAGTTACATGCTTTATTCTTCTATTTTTTAGCGAATCCAGTTTTAATTCCGTAAGAAGAGAGGCTGAATGGGCATCTCGATTAGCACCGCAAATAATTTATGATGCAATTTTTTGGACTAGGTCTAGTTTCTTTAACTGTGTTGGTGCCGCAGATAAGAGAATTGCACTAGAATACTCAAGCTGAGACCTTATTAATCATATGTAAGCCAATCTCAGAAGGTCCCAAGATAGGTATCGACTGGCTCGAGAGAGATTTACCAAGAGACTATGATATTTTTTATTTACATTATCTATAGGAGGACGAAAGGTAAGATGCCAATCAAGAGTTACTCCTAATAATTTAACTGATTTGACTAGATTGATTACACAGCCGTCTATTAGCAACCGTAGATTCTCTGGCAGTTTCATTCTAAGATTCTTAAACACTATAAACTGTGTCTTTGACGAATTTATCGTGAGGCCGTAAGACGTACATAAGTCTTTGATTTTATAAAAAATATGTTCCAATTTAGTTGTAAGAGCATGATTTCTCTCTAAATCCATATTATTCTAGAGGAATTGTCTTATTTATATTACAAAAAGTAGAAAGTTGTCAAGCTGCTATCTTTTCAAACATCCTGCCTAATATGGGAAGTACTGAGATTGGTCTATAGTTCTCCGGTTTTGATTTTGATCCTTTTTTTTCCATATTGCTACTACATTGGCTTTTTTCCACATTTTAGGAAAATAGTTTTCATTGATGCTCTTGTTTATCATTACTGTAATGTTCGGTGCAATGTTCGGTGCAATGTTCGGTGCAATGTTCGGCGCAATGGTTGCAGCTATTTTTTTAAGACAAAAGCTGGTAGACAGTTGTACCCTGTAACAGTGTTTTCTTTCAGTTTTGATAAATGCTGGTAAACCAATTTGCAATCAATTTTTTTGAAGCTGAATGATTCATTAATGTTGCAGCCTTGAATTAAATTTAATAGAGATATTTCAGGAGCTCTCACAGAATTCGTTAAATATGAGTTTAGGATATTTAAATCAATGCCTGCCTTTTCACTTTTTTGGGACAAGAAGCTTACTTCGCTTATAAATGCCCAAGCGCTCCGATTGCCTTTTTGATTTAGAAGACTTTGTCCGTATTTTTTTACTGCTATCTTAATAATATTTTTAACTTTCTTTTTTAATACTTTCAATTTAGTTAAAAGGTCTTTATTGTCACAGTTATTAATTAGTTTTTTTGCAATTTTTTTATTTCCATCTCCGGTTATTTAGTAAAATAGTATTTTCCTAAAACCTTTTTATTTAGGGGGTCATTGCATAATAACGTCACGCTAAAAATGGCTATTTTTGAACCACCGAACCACCCTGTCACGTTAGGTCACATTTCGCTAAAAAAACCCAGCGTGACGTCATTTCATTTTTTTTCACGAAATGGGGGGGGGGGGTGGAATTGTTTTTTTAAAAAACTAAATTTAAATTAGCTGTTAACTTTTTAACTAATTAACTTCTTTTACTTATTTTTTTTTTCCAACACTTTTATTAAATGCTTATAATAAAACAGTCTGTTTAAATTATTTACAAAATTTTAACCAAGTATAATTGCTTTAAAAAATTGGTTCTTCCAAATCAATAATTCTTGGAGAAAGTAAAACTAAAAAAGATCCAAGCAGACGAGTTTTTTTGAACTTTCGCCAATATCTGCAAATTTGACTACTTATTTTCCGACAAATACGGTACTATTCATTTTTTGTCTGCGACAGATGTGATAATGATTTGTCTTGGCTTCAACAGTTAGAAAATTCAACCTTGACATTGTCTATTTTCCAAATCCGCAAAGGAGACTGATGGGCAATACAAATCAATTGGGTTGTCTGAGTTTGACTTGATTTTTAACATCTGGGGGAATATCTTGAAAAACCAGAAGCATGGACAGATGGCAAAAATGAAGATTTATTGGTATTGGAATCTTTTGAGGAAATGCATTAATCCCAAACTCGGTGTGTTCAAAAACTCAAGGATATGGTAAAAACCTGTTTGGTAAAACTTTTTGAAATTGAGAAAAGCGAAATGGTTTACAGCAAAATACATCTGTGCATTTGACGACTTGAAGCATGTACTTTGAACTCATTATGTGCTGTGACCGCCAAAGTTGGTTTGAAACTTCCTCTCTGGAAACTCGTAATGTGGCATTGCCTTCTGGTATTGGAATAGCCATCGCATACACTGGATATTTGTTGATCACTTTTTTACTTCATATTGATGCTAAAACATTCATGGCATGAAAGAATTTTTTTTTTTTCCCATTCGTCATTGATTATTTTTCCATTTGCACTAATATGTGAACCAAATGTTCGTGATCAAGAACCAATCCACAAATGTCATGGGAAAGGGGAGCCACTCTGCCTTCACATAGGTTATATGCTCTGTAGCCTCTAGTTTTATCATCAGGCAAAAAAAGCATTGTGTTTTGAAAATAGCATTATAGAACTATGCACACCAATAAGTGTGCATAGTTCCATAACAAGCCTGATAACTTGCTTCAAGACAAGGAAATATATGTTTGCATTTACTTTATCCAAACGTTTTTATTCTCTGGTAAACTTTTTGTTCAATACTGTAGACAATAACGGTTCACCAGCAGACGATTCAACAGACACAAATGCAACCTCCTGCAATGTTTTCTTTGCTGGAATATTTGTCCAATAGCTCAGATATTTTGCTTTTCGTTTTGCTACAACCATTTTTAACTTGTTTAATTTCGTTTGACATGAAGATGGTTTTAATTTTAATTCGTTCCATAAAGTTTGCGCCTCTTTCAGTTGGTCGTGCTTTGATTTTTCCGAATACGCAAGAACATAAGTATTCAATAGATATTGGTAAAGATCTGGCATATTATTTAATTTATTTTTCTTGAACATGTCTATGGACTTAAAATCATTAATTTTAAAATTGCTAATTTTGGCAAGAAAATACAAAAATGAATTATATAACGTTATGTATCTTTACAAACTCGAACGACAGTTTCTACCAAACTTTGGTATGTTTAGGGTTTCTACAAACCCTAAACATACCAAACTACAAACCTCAAAAATTAACATTATAAACACTTTAACAATTACACATTTAACCATATTTATATAACCTTATAAACACGTAAACATGTTTTTTTTTATTATTAAAAACTAGTTTAATATACAATAACACTGAAAGCCATAAAATTTACAAAACCATTATAAAGTTACTTTTTGGCAAGGAAATTATTTTTTTAAAAATTCGATATTTCCGAATTTTTCACCTTCGTATCATTTCAATATAACACGAAGTTAAAACGAACTATCTACAAAAGAGAACGCACAGTGAATCGGCTTATACTGGACAAAAGTCAATTCAAGAAATCAATAAGTAGATACTTTCATAATATTACCAAGAGAAAAAATTCAAAATATTAATTGTTAAATCATTAGCGCTTAAGTGTCACTTAAAGATAAACATATTTTTAAAAAAATTAGCTGTAATTTTGCTGTGTAACAATAACGTATAACTAATTTATTGTAAATAATAACTCTGCTGTGATGAATTTTACATTAGAGGGTATGTACTTTGTATTTTATCGAAAATTTATTTAAAATAATTGTCATAGATGATATTCTGTAGCTTTAAAAAAAACTATGTTAAAACTGCAATTTCTTTTTTCGTTTTTTAGTTTTCAAAGCGTATAACTAATTTTATCCAAATATATCCAGGCTGATTTTTTTATGTATTATAACCACAACAATAAGGCGCCTAAATGTAAAAATTTGGCTCCCCGTGTCTGCCCGTTTCATTTTTTTAAAATTTTTTTCAGACCGAGTGTATTCTATTACAAAATTGGAGTTATTTAAAGAATGGCAAAAACATGCAAAGGAAGAACGAAATTCTCTTTTGTGTGAATTTATTTTGAAAGACTATACTCGAGTCACTAATAACAAAAAATGTTACTAGTGACTCGAAAAAAAAATACAGTTAAACATGGCAAGCATATCCGCTAAATTTGCGCAAAAGTGGAATGCAGCCAATAGAAATATGGATCATTTTTTAAATAAAAATAAAAGTTGGTTAGAGGACAATAATTTAGAATTTAAAAAAAATTTTTATCAATCCGGTGCTTCTACAACGTCTGAAAAAAGTCGGCCTTAAGGTCGGTCAAAGAAAAAGACATCTTTAAAAACCAAAAGACGTAGAGTTAAAGACTTATTGCAATGGTGGAGTGCCAATCAATTAACAACAGCTGCTGAAATAGCACATCGTTTGTCGGGTCAAAGAAACGTAGCTACTTCTATTAGAAAAAGAACAGAAACCTTAGAGCGAAGAAAATCTACAG